CTCGATTAAGAGTGGATTTGTATAAAAGTGTCAGTGATGCTCTAAATCGAGGGGAGAAAGAAGCATCTGCTACTGGCAAACGAATTATTCTTCCGTCATCTTTTACTGGAGGGCCTAGATATATGTCAGAGAATTGCAAAGACGCATTTGCTATCTGTCGTTGGGCAGGTTATCCAAGTCTTTTTATAACCATAACATGCAATCCGAAATGGCCAGAGATCACTAGATTTGCCAACAAAAGAGGTGTTCGACCTGAGGATCGTCCAGACATTCTTTGCAGAGTTTTTAAGATTAAATTGGATCAATTGCTAAAGGACTTGAAGAAAGGGCACATTTTTGGAAGAGTTATTGGATGTGAGTCATAGTTCTTCTTTGTTGATGTTTCATTTATCTTCAAAATTTTCTATGATTATGCTTATAAGCCATTTAAAATTTACTCTCATTATTTTACATGCATATAATAATAAACTGTAGAGTTTTATTACTTTTGTTTTAATTTACTAATTATATGTAAATGGTTATAAAACTCCTACAAGCAGATGTTTGCACGGTTGAGTTTCAAAAACGGGGGCTTCCTCATGCTCACATTTTGCTTTTCATACATCCAGACGATAAGCCAAAAACTGCTGATGACATTGATAAAATCATTTCAGCTAAAATTCCTGATGAAAAGCTAGATCCTAAATTATTTGCAGCTGTTAAAACTTATATGATGCATGGACCATGTGGAAAAGCAAATCTCAAATCTCCTTGCATGAAGGATGGGAAGAATTGTTCAAAACATTTTCCTAAAAATTTTGGCTCAAGCACCAAAATAGATGAAGAAGGCTTCCCTCATTATAGAAGGAGAGATGGTGGAAGAATAGTCAAGAAAAAAGGGCATTGAATTGGACAATCGATATGTTGTTCCTTATAATAGAAAGCTTCTCTTGAAGTACCAAGCACACATAAATGTTGAGTACACTTGCCAGAGCAATGCTATTAAGTATCTTTTTAAATACATTCACAAAGGAAATGATCGAGTTACTGCAATTTTTTCTCATTCTAATGGGGACAAGTCAAACTCTTTAGATGAAATTCAAAAGTATTATGATTGCAGGTAAATATAAGTTTTATTGATTTCATTGTATTTCTTTTGTTTCAATATTAATTATGTATCTCTTTCAATGTAGGTATGTATCAGCTTGTGAGGCGGCTTGGAGGATTTTTGGTTTTGAAATTCATTATAGATACCCCCCTGTACAAAGGTTGTCATTCCATCTTCCAGAAAAAAAAGCAGTCATTTTTAAGGATGATGATTCAATTGAAGAGGTTCTGAACAAAGCTAATTCTAAGAAGTCAATGTTTGAGGCTTGGATGGAAGCAAATAGGAAATATGATGATGGAAGGAACTTGACTTATTCTGAATTTCCGACAAAGTTTGTTTATAATGAAGGCACACATGAGTGGACTAAGAGAAAAAAGGGCTTTGCTGTTGGAAGAATAAATCATGTACCCCCAGGAGCTGGCGATGATTTTTATTTGAGAATTTTATTGAACTTCCAAAAGGGCTGCAAATGTTATGAAGATATTAGAACAATTAATGGGGTAAAGTATCCTAACTTTAAAGATGCATGTTATTCTTTGGGGTTGTTGGATGATGACAAAGAGTATATTGATGCTATAAAAGAAGCAAATTTATGGGGGGGATCTACTTATTACCTTAGGCAACTTTTTGCATCTCTATTGTTTTCCAATAGTATGAGTAGACCTGAATTCGTTTGGGAGAGCTGTTGGAAATTATTATCTGATGACATTCTTCATCATCAAAAAAAAGTCATTGGCAGACAAGGTATGTCTTATATGTTCCCTTTTTTTTAAGTTATAAATATTGAGAAGGATTGATGGTCAAGAAGTGCAAATATGATATTTTTTTCCTATGAAGTATAGGATGAACTCTTTATTTAGGTTGTTTTAGGGGACCTTTGAATTGTTGTGTTTTGTTTTTGTTTTGGCTT